GCTTCAAGCTGCTTCATCGGATCCCGGGAGGCTCCGCGCTCTGACGCAGCTTCCTCGAGAGCAGCGAGCTGCCAGCCTGGAAGATGTTGTCTTCACACGATGAAAGGTTCTGACTTTTCGGATAAAACTAAATCTGAGCCCACGCCTTTGAGACAGAGAGGCTTTCAAGTAGGAAAGCAGCAGCAAAGGGCTGGGCTGGGGTGGGGGAGAAGGAAGGGCAGGAAGAGATGAAGACACAGCTAGGGAGTTCAAAGAGCACAGCCCAGCCAGGCGGCGATGAAGAGGGACGAGACACTCAGCAAACCAAGGGCAGACAGCGCGCAAGGTCTGCAGGCAGCCTGAGACCTGCTTCCTCTGCAGGCCAGTAACTAGAAAGGCAGGACTTGGTGTGGGTGGGCGTGGCTTCCCCAATGCTCCCACCCAGCTCTGCAGAAGGTGGCCAGGCAGGTCCCCTCTCTAGTCCTGGCTGAGTCCTGCCAGTCTCTGAGAGACAAGAAAGAAGAGCCCCTGGAAGAAGGACATGCTTCATGGCACAATGCCACGAGGGTCAGAAACTTGACTTTGGGCCAGTCCCACCTGTCAGCTCTATTAGAATAAAAAAAGAATGAAAAAGAAAATGCATGTAAATGACCATCTCATATTACAATGCTCAGTCTCCTTTCTCTAATTTCAGATGGATGCCCGATCCGCAAGAGCTTGGACAACTTCTTTTGGCTTCTCCTTCCGTTAGGGCTCTCACTGTATAACAGTCACTTACATAGGAGCTCCCTAAGGGGCTCAGTGGTCCCTTTGCAACTGGAGGCAACCCTGGGCTGCGTGAACAGTTTCACTCTCTACTGCATCCGTTCGCAAGCGAGATTTCACATTGAGAGTCACAGTCCCATCCAATTGCTTCGCAATTCTGAAACCCTAAAACTCTCAAATGCTAAGTTCTTCCTTATAACTTATTTGGTGGTAAAGCCTGCCCTGAACTGAAGGGAGGTTATTTACAATGAACCTGACGATTCCCACGTTTATCTGCAGATATATTCACATGCTTGATGGTGGCAGGGATGTTCCAGACCGCCAGAGTGGTCGGAAATACATGGTCAATGGATCATGTCACCTTTCTCCAATCCTTAATTTCAGAATGCAGAGACACACTTGGCCCCCAGGATTTCAGAAGAAGGAGTGTGGCCGGAAGTGGTGCTAAGCGCGATGCGAAGGCTGCCAGCCCGTGCCCATGCACACCTCGGTCTGGTCGTTCGTGTGTGAACATCTGACCGCTCCAACAGTTCCACCCCGCTGCCTTCCTTCTCAGGGAAATGAAGGTCAAAACATACTCAGCCCTTAGATTTTGATGGCCAGGAGGCAGGGGCGCGGTCAGGGAGGGTAGCCCAAGAGATGGGCTTCCCTCTCCTTGGCCTCGGGCTGGCCGTAGATACCTTGGGCTTTCCCGCACTGGGCCGGGGTCTCACCCTCATGCTGGTGCAGCCCCCCCCAAAGGATCAGAGATTAAACACTCAGGGCACCAGATTTTTGAGGCAAGGGGAGGGAACACAGAGGAGATGTCACCACAGTCGCCCTTGGTGAGCCCTGCTCACCCAGCCAGGGCCCATTGCAGCCCAGCCCAGCAGCTCCACTGTGCTCTTGCAGTGGGAAGCGGGCCCTGCCAGGAGGGATGAGCCTGCCAGAGCATCGGCCTCCCCGTCAGCACCCCTGTCTACCCCACTCCCTGAAGCTCTGCGTGCCTGCACCTACACTGCTTTCCAGAGCAGGAGGAGGGGCTGGCAGCCCTCAGAGCCTGCAGAGTAAAGCAGATGCATTTTCAAAATAAATAATATTTTTAAAATACCCCCTTTCCACCCCAAATCCAGGAAACGGCAGAAGAGAACATGTAAAGGTCTTTGTGCCCAAAGCTGCCTGGAGCAGCCCTCACAGGACTCCCTGGGCATCCCCGGCGGCTCCCTCGGGCTCACAGCTGCTGTGGAATGCCCTGCTCCTTGTAGCCTGTGCAGAAAAAAAAAAACAAAACAGGACAGTCAGCCAGTTAGACAACTGCTTCCTTCAGGATGCCTCAAGGGGGGCCCCCCAGGCCAGAATAAGCTCACGGACTCAAATAGTGTGGTGTAAACGACTGCTACCATCGGGGCCCGACTCTTCCAAGGGCTTAGACTTTTTAATAGGAAACAAACAAAAATGAATCCAGAACTGTGGGATATCGGGTGTACTAGAATATACGAGAGGAGAGTCTTTGGGGTGGGAGCAGCAGCTATGCATGTGCTCCTGAATCCACACCCCGAAAACCACTGAATAAAAGTGGCCCTGTGAAGCTGGGTGGTGTGGTTGTCCAGTGCAGAGCCTGGGGAGAAAGTGGCATCCCCAAGAATTGGGCATTGAGAAGGTGGATGGAGAGAAGGAAGAATGGAGGGAGATAGCAGACAGGAGGGAGTAGCCTGTGCTCAGCCTTGGTTGATATGACAGGTAAAGGTGCTGAGGATTTTGTGCCTTTGAAAGCCTATTGATAATGACGAGAATTGGGAACGTTTGAACACTGTTGAGATTAAGAATTTGTTGCTACTTATTTGGCTGTGAAAGGGTTTTGTGTATCTTTCCACCCACCCCCCCTTTTTTTTGAGAGATTTTTTTCTATAGGGCGCATGCACTCACTGGAGAGACAGAGATACAGAAAGCAAGAAATCACACTGCCCACCAGGGGGATGGCCACACTGTAACTCCTTCTCTAGTCTCCTCTCTGGATTTTGGGCATGCACATACATGTGCACAGCGTGTTTCAAGCCACCAGGTCCGACACTTGAACTACAGTCAACCAGGTGGGAGTCCAGCACCTTAACTGCTATGCCACCTGCTGGCCCCTTGTGTATCTTTTTAAGAAATACCCACCAAAGTATTTAGGGCCGAAATGACAGGAACGGAATCCGCTAAGCAGTTCCGCACTGTAGGCTGGGTAACTCAGCCCTGGCGTGCAGAGGAGCTGCAGTGGACTGTATTTTTCCTTTCATCTGGCAACTTGCTCATCAATTTTAGGTGCTAATAATCAAGTGCAGGGGCTAGGGGAGAATCACGAAGTCATAGACAAGTGGCCACCAACGGACAAGCTTGGAGCTGGTGTGGGCACTTCGGGCCTCACTAGGTCGGACTCTCTCCTTCTGTTCGTGTTTAAACATTTTCCAAAACAAAATGCTAAAAATAAGAGCCTGTTGGCCAACGGGAGAGTAGGGTGTTTGTGTGCAGGGTAAGGCCCCAGGGGAGAGCAGGGCCCCAGACAGCCCCGGACGTGAGGCTGCGCATCCGTGGACAGGCTCACCTTGGGAAACTGCAGCAACGCAGAGATGGGAGGCAAGCAGGAAGAAGAGAAGCAAAAGAGAAAGAGAAAAGAGTCTGAAAACAGAGGCCGTGGGGAAGGTGGAAATATCAAGAGGGTTTCCCCTGCCTTTGCTATCCGCACCTGCCACAGCTGACTTTCAGCACTGACGTTCCACCTATGACTGGGTTTTCGAGTGCAGGACAAGTAAGAGCATGGGGCAGTGGATGGGGTACCTGAGGAGAGACGTGTGGTCCTGCTTGTGAGGAACCGCACCCTAAGGAGGAGATGGGACATGGAAAACTGCAGCGAGACGTGATCAGTTGCGTAGAACAGGTGATGTCTGTTTAAAGACTTTGCTGGGGGATTTTTAGGTATCAAGTTATCTTTGAAAAACTTGATTTTGCAATTTTAAGCTCCTCCACGAAACAGCTGTATGTGTTAATCAAGTTTGCATTACATGGTTGATAAAAGGCCACTCAACACAGATGAGGAATGGCGAGGCTTTGGCACCAACAAAGAACTTAATTTCAAAGGAGGAGGAATCACTCTGTACATGCTGTAAAAATCACAGCATAGGGTTTCCTGTGGGCAAATACACCAAGTGGCCTTTTCCTTCTTTCTGGAAACTGCACGATGGAGACAGGGAACCGTGGACACGGGGGGTGAGCACACCAGGCCGTGCCACCGTCACCCAGTTTTGCCATTTGGCTTCCTTGACAATCACAATGGCTGTTGGACTGGACTCCCTACCTCTCTAGCCATGCCTGCAAGCTCAGATCCATGCCAAGGAGGACTCTGCCATACACTCGTACTGCCCTCTCAGTACCCGACCCGGGCATGCTGGGGTGAGGTCCCTGCACCAAGCAGCCAAGGGCCCTAGTGACTAGGGCACAGGAAGCTCTGGAGGGCACCTCTCCTAGGGGTGAGCGGGCTCTTGGCTGGCCATGATGGACTCCCATGCCCCCTAGTCCCTGCCCTCCCAGTCCCGCCCAGGAGGCCATGCAGACAGCTACTCACTGGCAAGGATGACCATGTCCATGCCCCAGAAGATGCTCATGATCCAGCCCACCATGACGATGGCCGTGAGGATCTGGATGAGGGCCGCCGCGATGTTCAGCCAGAAGACGCAGCACACGTGTCTGTCCGGGAGGTCAGTGCGGGCCCCGCAGAGCACGGTGAAGGCCGAGACGAACGTCCCTGTGAGAGGCCAGATGGGACACTGTTCAGAGGGCCTAGGAGACAGGGGCATGGTGCTCATCACTGGCCTAGGGCCCAGCTGCCCACCCTCCAAAAGCTCTGAGAGAGCGGCCATGTCCTGGCTCAGACTCCACCCTCTTGTCTCTGTGCTGGAGAGGCAGTGGTCCAGGCGGAGAGGTATGGTTGCCAACGGCCTTTAGGGGACCTATGACAAGCAGTCCTGCCAGGGAGCAACAGGGCGCCACCTTCAGCTCAAAAAGGTAGCAACCATATGCAGCCAAGATTCCAAGGGCCTAAGAGTTCAGAGGTGGGACCCAAAACGGTGGGTGCGTTCACACTCCCTTCTCCGGCTACTAATTGCCTCCATGGCTAACACGACGTTCACCGAGTTTTTACTCAAGCCAGGCTCTTCCTACACAGCCCCTGGGACAGGCAGAAACCCTGCAAGGTAGTCCTTGTTCTCCCCGTCTGTATTAGTTTCCGATGGCTGCAACGACATACCACAGTCGTGTCATGGTGCAGCACAACCGTATTTCTTTATGGCTCCAGAGATTGGAACAGTCTCTAGTGGGTGATGGGGGCTGCTTGCTTCTGGAGGCTTCTCCGTCAAGGACAGCTGTGTCTCTATCCTGACCTGCCTCCCTCTTTCAAGGACCTTTGTGATTATGTTCAGGTCTCATGTGGATAATCCAGGATAACCTTCCCATTGCTCAAGAGCCTTCATTTCACCTGTAAAGGTCCCTCTTACACATAAGGTAACTTGGGTTGAGGGTTAGGATGTGGATGCCCTTGGGGCCGTTACCCAGCTATCACTCTGTCTTACACAGAGACAGTCTTGTCCGAGATCACCAGCACAGGCAGGCACCCACTGCTGGCTGAGGTCAACAGCCATGTTCCTGCTGCCTGCACTGCTTCACTGGTGCAGGTGACCTGGTGAAAGCAGGCCCAGGCCAGAAAGCAGGGCATGAGGGAGATCAGCCAGTGGCCTAGGAACCATTCTCACTTTCCTAATTCTCAGTTCCTATCCTGAAGGGAGCTGCCACCTCTCTGAACTCTGGTATCTGGTCCTTCCCTGCCCAGCTGTGCTGGCTCATCCTGAATTCTAGATGTGGCCTTTGCTCCCACTCAAGCCCTCAGGCCTCTGACCCAAGGCTGAAGAATGTCTGAGTCCATGGGCTGATGTCAATCATGCCTCCTCTTAACAGCTGCCACTGACCTGAGTTCCCAGGCTGTCTCATTCACCTCGATGCCTCCAGCCCCTGTCACGGTGCTTGGTCCACATGGGAGGTCTTGGGCTTCCGGAGAAGGACAATCCACGTCAAGTGTATCTGCAGACCCCCTTCATTGTCACCCTGGTATCTGTTGATCCTACCTGAGACCTACCGGATAGCTAAGGGGCACCCAGGAATCTGCATTTCTAAACAAGTGTTGCCTCTCCTCCCAAGAAATGGTAATTGCTCACTAAAGCATGAGAACTACAGATTGATAACTAACCCAATAACTGACACTTCTGCGTTCCTGGCACAGAGCCCGGGTGGCCCTGTGGGAGACACAGAAGGCAAAGCTAGTTTCCTACCCCCATCCGATGAACTTCCATCCAGGGGCACAGAGTATTTGCAAGCAGGGAGAGTGTTCTCTGCAGAAGAGCTGGGAGACTGGGTTTGGGGAGACTGGGCTTGGGGCATGTTGCTCCAGGAGGTGCCAAGGTTTGGCCAACAGCAGCAGGCATAGGCAGCAGGAAGGGGAATGGGTCTGTCCATTTTTGTCCTGGAAGTCCCAAAGAGCTTCTCTGGGCTTGCCCTCTGAGGAGAGCCCCTTCTGGGAGATGAGGTTGGGCTGTAACTCTTACGTCTCTAGAGGCTGGCTCACTCAGAAAGCTAATTCCATCCCTGCCCTCGGGAGCCCACGGTGCAGCGAGCTTGATGGAAGAGAGGGAGCTAGCGGCTGGCCACCTTTGCAGAGGTGAAGGCAATGGTGCTGGGTCTTGAGCTCCAGTCTCTTCCCTGGGAGGAGGAGGGAAAAGGTAGTGTAGGGACAGGAGGGGGTGACATGAGGAGGTGATAAGGGTGATGGGAGGACTGACATGGGCCGTTTGTGGAGAGCTCTGAATGCCGGGATAAGGGTAGGCCCATCACTCGCAGGAACCAAGCTCCCACAAAGAGAGTGATATTGTGAAGGCAGCAATTAAAGAAAAGTCACTTGTCAGCAGGGGGTTGGGTCCACTGAAAGTACCCACTGCAAAGTCAGCCATGTGGGATCCAGTACCTTAACCTCCATGCCACCTGCTGGCCCACACCCAGCATGTTTTTCAAACCACCGGGTCCAGGGTTTGAACTACGCCATTGGCCTTAAGGGATCCAGCCACCTTACCCACCACACTACCTGCTGGCTCCAGCAGCACGTCACTTTTGTCATGCAAGGCAACATGTGCTGAAGGTAAGGATGAAATGAATGGATTTAAAATATAAAAACATTGTTTCAATCTCTTCAGCAGTAAGCTTAAAGAATGATTTTTAGCACATTTTCTTATGAAGAGGTGCTAATTATTTTAAATGAGTCTTGCACGTTAGAGCTCTACCCAACGGCAACGTGTTAGTTTAATTTACTCCACTGCACGCAGCCATATGCCAGTGCTGGGTCCTGGGAAGGCAGAGCCCAAACAGGTGATGAGGACTTGGCCCACCCTGCCCAGGAGCTCACATTCTGATGGGAACACTGGGTCACACAAGGAACAGGGACGAAGTCTGTTTGGCTGAATAAAGAAAGATGTCGTAAGGGACCAAGTGATTGAATGGAAGTCCAGGAAGCTGACAGGGGCCTATCAAGGGAACAGGAGGGGAAGAGCAGCCCGTGACAGTGTGGCATGTGTCCAGGGTTCAGCGTGCACAGGGGACACTGAGTGGTGCAGGGAGCTAGACACAGGGCAGGTGCAGAGCAGGGCCGAGAAACAGGCTGGCTCACACTGCAATGAAAACGTCGTCAACTACAAAGTCAGGCTGAAGTGGGCAGAGGCAGATCAGGGAGGGCCCCGAGGGCCTTGCTCTGGAGTCCTGCAGTGGGTAGCCCTATGAGGGTTGGGGAGGGGGTCCAGAGAGAGGAGGAACGCTTTGGAAGATAAGGAGGTGGCATCTCCAGATTGGGGGACCTGCTGATTGCCGGGATAAGGGAGCAGAGGGGCCCCCAAATAAGTCTGGGTTTCTGGCTTCCCACAATTGGTGGTGAGGGTGGAAACACCACCCAGAATGGGAAACAGAGGCACCATGTCTTTGGGAGGGGTCAATTTCAGGTGGCGAAAGTCAACCAGGAATGAATGAGATCACACTGGACGGGAATGAAATTCAGGAAAGACCCTAGAGGAAGTCACCATCTTAGGGGGGAGTAAGAAAAGGAGAAGGACCAGAGAAGCCAGGAGACGGGGTCCCAGGGCCAGGAGAGGAGTCTCCGAGAAAATGGAGCAGAGGCAGGATCACCTGCTGCAGTGACGGTCAGTGATTCCAGGTGAAGTCATGGGTTGAGAAGGCCAGGAGTGACCTCAGCAGGGACCTGAGCCAATATGAGAGGTCTGCAGCGGGAATGGAGGTGTGGGTTCAGGACCACTCTCTTCAGTGAGAGAATCTGGAGCTTATCTGCTGAGAAGTGGCCAGGGGAGGGGAGGGGTGAGGATGATGAGACCAGACTGGGGATAAGTGGATGAAGAGGAGGTCCCAAGCAAACCAGTTTATGCACCAGAATTCTCAAACCAATGTTTACAAAAAGGCAGGTTCCAGGGCCCCACCTCCAGAGACCACCGATGGTGCAGGGATGGGACAAGGAATTACTTGTTTAAAAAAGATTAAAACAGGGTCCAGCTGGTGGTGCTATGGTCATATAATGTTCTGCAATGCCGGGCCGGCCTGGGAAGGTCCTGAGTTTGCACCCCGAGCTCTCTGTACATTCTGGGCATGCCTGCATGTGCCATGGGCTGGGCTGGCTGAGGCTGGGAGAGGATCATGGCATAAATTTGATGGTTCCTCTCTGTCTCTCTCTAATAGAACAAATAAGCTTTCAAAAACTGAAACGAAACAAACATCCCCCCAGCTGATACTAATGGACAACCAGGTTTGAAAACCCTTCCTCTGAGGGGTGGAGGAATTCGCCTCACAGATACAGAACCAGAAAACCACACGTTATAGTTCATGATTCTGGACTTTCACGCCATCCACCAGCACCCACCACGTGACTCAGTGCTGAGCGGGGAGAGTGTTCTCTGCAGAAGAGCTGGGAGACTGGGTTTGGAGAGACTGGGCTTGGGGCATGTTGCTCCAGGAGGTGCCAAGGCTTGGCCAACAGCAGCGGGCATAGGCAGCAGGAAGGGGAATGGGTCTGTCCATTTTTGTCCTGGAAGTCCCAAAGAGCTTCTCTGGGCTTGCCCTCTGAGGAGAGCCCCTTGCCCACTCTCCCCGTGGGGGGAGGGGGGTGGCACTGCTCCCAAGAGATAGAACCATCCCTTGAGTTCTGAGGTCGGCTTTTCTCATATGCACGGGGGAGGTGTGGAAGAGGCTGGGTCAGGAGAGGGCTTTCCAGGCCTCTCAGAGCTCAGGACAAGGGCAGAGCTGTCTTCTGAAGTCGCTGATGCTGAAATACGTGCCCCTGGGACCTGGGCCACCGGTCAAGTCTGGTTCCAGCTGTCACCTGCAGGTGGCTCTGCAGTCACGAATGTGTGCCATCCCAGGGAAGGCCAGCTGAGCACAGCCTTCTTTTGGAAACTACTGAACAAATGTGAGCTTCCAGGACAGGAAGGAAATGTGAGAGAGCCCTGGGTCTGGCTTTATGACCAATTTAGAAAGGCAAGCCACGTCCTAAGAAATGAGGTCTCCTTCTAGATTAGGGCTACAGTAAGATAAATGGTGGACCACGTTTAAGGTCAAATTCAGTCCTGTGAAGCTTTGATTCTCAAACTTTGGACCGGGGTGGGGGGCAATGAGAAAGAAGAGATAGAGGTTCTGCAAAAAATACACCTT